CCCGACACAAGGTCAAAGTCAACCTCAAACCAGGACCCCGACACAAGGTCAAAGTCAACCTCAAACCAGGACCCCGACACAAGGTCAAAGTCAACCGCAAACCAGGACACCGACACAATTTCAAAGTCAACCTCAAACCAGGACACCAACACAAGGTCAAAGTCAACCCCAAACCAATACACCACCACAGGGTCAAAGTCAACCTGAGACCAGGACACAATCACAAATTCACAGTCAATCCCAAACTAGGACACCAACACAAGGTCAAAGTCAACCCCAAACCAATACACCACCACAGGGTCAAAGTCAACCTGAGACCAGGACACAATCACAAATTCACAGTCAATCCCAAACTAGGACACCAACACAAGGTCAAAGTCAACCCCAAACGAAAACACCATCACAAATTCAGAGCCAACTTCAGAGCAGAACGCCAACGCAAATTCTGAGTCAATTTCAGACCAGTAAACCAACACACATTCTGAGTCAACCACTGACTAGAGCACCAACACCAGGTCAAAGCCAACCCCTAACTAGGATGCCAACACAAGGTCACTTTCAACTCCAAACTAGGACACCATTGCAAATTCAGAGTCAGCCTGAGGCCAGGACACCAACACAAGGTCATAGTGAACCCCAGCCTAGGAGCCCAAACCAAAGTCAAACTCAACCCCAGGCAAGGACTTCAGCACAAGTACAGAGTCCTTTACAGACCAGGGCCCCAGCCCAACTGCAGAGTAAACACCAGACCAGAACTCCAGCCCAACCTCAGACTCAACCCCAGACAAAGCTCCCCACACATAACCAGAGCCAACCACAGACCAGAGCTCAACCAACCCCTCACCTGCAGTCTGGCCAGCAGGTGCTGCCTCAAACTCATATGAGACACACCTCGCAGCACAATCTCCCAACTTCATATAGACCCTTACCCAGTCAGTCTCACACCCAGTCCAGGCCACCAGTTACCCAGTCCCAAATACCAACGCACTTTCAAGGCTTTCCAGCCCAGTTACATCCACAGTCTCCCTCTCAGCTCTCAAGGCTGCATGCCCAGAACCTCTTTCCTCACCGAACATCATCTTCCATTCAAACCCAGCCCAACCTTGTCCCAGCACAGCAGAACCAGTGTGAACAGCCCCAGGACCTGAGCACCACACGACAGACCCAAGAAAGCCAGGTCCCAAGAAGAGAGGCCAGCCTGGAGGGCATCAGGATGGAGGGGAGAGGGGAGCTGGTCACAGCGTCAGAGAACAAAGAGGTTTTAGGAAGTGACAGAGGGTCAAACAGCACATCAAGGCCTTCCAGCTCTGTGCAACCTGGACCTCCTGGAGCAGCAGGATCCAGCCTTGTGCCTGGAGCAGATGGTAGGGCTCGCCTGAGGTTGGAGCCAGAGGCAGCAGATGACAACAAAGAGCTCAGAGACATTGTCCCACAGTCCTCTGTCCCCTGTCCCAGCTGTGAGGAAACTGTAGAGTCACGAACTGCCGTCAGTGAAAGAGTCAGCTGATTGGTTGGTCATGTGAAAGGCAAGCTGATTGGCAATCTCATGGACTGAGTCACCAGACGGAGGACTTTGGCCAGGCGGACGAAGGAGGTGTTTGGATCTTACTTTGGACAGAATTTAGTAGGACTGTCTCAGCCTCTATTCTTGGATCCTGTCCCGGAGGCCTTGTAAAGTCAACTTGTCACTGAAGGACTCATTGAGATTTGAATGATAGTGTCTTTTTATAGAGAAAAAAATCAGAAGAAAAGGAAAAAAAAAATCAAAAAAAGAGTGTGTATATAATCTAAAGGCAGCTGTTGCATCCTGCTAGTCTCCGTAGGGAGGAGGAGAGTAGTATGGAACTAAAAACCGATGCTTAACAACACATTACTCTGTTAAGATGTTGCTTCCGGAATATAACCTGTTTTTTTTTTATTTAGTAGTTGATTGTTTTGTCTTTGTTATACAGCTTTAAAAGTTATATGAACCATGGCCCTGACTCTAACACGGACCATGTTGACTGACAGTCCCTCCCTCAAACCTGTCCACTGATAGTCTATAGGCAATGTGCAGTGACAGTTTGCACCTTAAATCGGTTTCCTTGGAAGTGTCTTCATTCATTACCTTTAATGTTTGACATGACATTTAAAGTAAGCAGATGTTTGTTTTAGCGTTTTCAGTTTTATGTGGTAAAGTTCTCAGTCTGCTTCCAGATTTCCTCACACCTGCAGTGGATGTGGAACGATCTGGAACCCGACTTTGCACGGTCAAAGGGAAGCTGCTTATTGGTGTTTCACCATTTACAATTAAGCCAGTTCTTCCAGGATTTTTCCTAAACTGGTCTTTATGAACGTTTTTTGTTTCTCTCATGTTTTGTTCCTAATGTAAGCACTTTTTATATCAAACCAAACCCGCGCCTACGGTAGCTTTATTTGACTTCTTTTAATAATGAATGTGTGGGAAAGGACCCCTTCTTAACGTGTCTTTATGTCAGATGTCTGGAACAGTTTGCACATCTCAACTTTATACAATCAACTCCCTGCATGTCGCTCAGAGACCCTGCAGGCCTTCAACCGGAGCGGGGCCCGCGTACGTAGAGGCCGTCCTGGCTTAGGTTCAGATTCAGATGTAAGCAGGAAAGCGGTGCAGATGCAGACAGAACATACATCAGATGATCCTCAGTTCTGATCAGTGTCAGAATTTGTAGATGTCCTATCTGAGCCGAATTGTTAGATAGTTCTGAAATTTAGCCAGACCTAAAGTGAAGGCACTGATCCACAATAGAAAAAGCAAAAAAGACCAAAAAACCCCAAATAGTATTAATTTAACCTGGAAGTGTCACTAGGATTCACAAAACTAATGCAGCCTGACTCCATATTTTGTCATAGTCTATATCTTGTAATTGTGGCGCTAATATCAAGGCTTTTCATCCAATAATTGGTGTACTGATACCTTTAAAGTATTTTGGATATTTTTCTCATGACTTATCATTTCTCAGTGACTCAACCCCATTATGTAGCAGGTTCAAGTCTTGTTGGAGTGGTAAAATCAAGACACCACCAGTGTGATTTTCAAAGGTACATAGTCAAGTCATTTGACATTTTTCAAATATACAATCATTAACAATTGTTTTTAAAGTTGATACTCATTTGGTCATTTACATAGGTGGTAAAAAAGGACGTAGCTTACCACAGCTTAGCCAGTTAGCGCCTCCCACCAGAGTTATGAAAATAACGAAAAGTCCAAGATCCAGTGTGAAAAAATGCAAAAGAAAAAAAGAAATCTAAGTGGAATACGATTGAAATAGTCCTTATTGATACTGAAACTTGTGCTAGCAATGCTATTCTTAGCCTCTACAGTCTAAGTACAAACAATATTATAAATAGAGATAGATTGATTGGTTTATACCTTGATGGCTCAGTTTAGTCGCCATCTGGCTTTTTGATGATTCCTCGGTAGTGCCAGCAGATGGCGCCACATCTGTTTATTTCTGCTCAATGACTGTCTAGATGGACACTTGATGTATATTATCTTATTTTGTCAGGAGAAATTGGCTTTTGTCTTTTTTGGTAGAGGCATATAACTTGACTATGTACCTTAAGACTCCAGCGGACTCGAAACACGAGGAACAGCGAAAAATAAAATCCCACAAGTTGTAAAGGTCAGGCAAAGGCATGGTAGAAGATCTGTCAAGAATTCTGGATTTTTTTTCCTCAATTAAGCATTTCACAATGCCATAGTGCATAAGAGATGCTGACCAAAAAATATACAAATTCCTAAACAAGATTTGAAGGAAAAGGAATGTGAGAATACAGTAAAATATGGGGAAGATTGTAAAAAAATACCTCATTAATGACACCTGGTGTTTTAAAGGAAAAGTCGCTCATATTCAGAATTCAAACTTCTGAAAGTTCTTTAAATCTGAAATGATTCCATCCTGTTCAATAAATGATCAGTGTTTTTAATTCAGAGTCATTTCCATGTGAATGTGCTTTACTGGAGGCATCCATGTTTGTCAAAGAACACTACTGCCACCTACTGGTTAGTGACGTCATGGTGCGGTATCGGCTGTTGATCAAGTCCCAGTGCTGTATCTGGTGTTTGTCACAACGCGCTATTATCCAAGTCATCTTGAAAACATTCTTCTTCCAAATGTTGGCTACATATTACGGGTTTTTTCTCTGGCCAGAAGTTCGATGGCAAATCCTCCCTCTTCAAGTTGGCGATCCAACGACCAACCCGTCCGTGGAGGATCAGGAATCGGAAAGGTGGAATAACTCTTTATTTTTCACTTTTACCCGATGTATTCCAGCATCCAGCTGCCATGCACGTGGGCATTGTCAGTTTCACTATAGCTCTGGTGAATTTCAATGGTGAAGTCCTCTGGAAATCTTCAATAATTGTTGTTGATTGCAGATGTGTCTAGTAGTTCCCATTGATTTAGCTTGGAAAGCGGGGAGAATGGCGCTAGGCTAACCGCACCGTGACGTCACTGCTGGAAGATGGCAGGAGGGAGGGGCTACTATATTTGGGCAAAATTCATTAAAACACAGCGAAAGTATTAGTTTTAGGTATAAATAATGATCCAATGATCACTCCTTGCTGACCGGACTTTTCCTTTTAATGCCAGAGCCTTTTCTGGGAAGAAGGGTTGCTTTGCGGGTCTCAACTACGCCCTCTTCAGGTGGACTGCATGAAGCACAGCCACCTGAGAGAAAGGTCAGGCTATATTTCTACTAATTTCTCCCGGTCATGTCAGTTTAACTCCATCTACGGCTCCTGCTAAACTAAAATAAACGAGCATTCAGATCCAGAACCTTGGTGTGTCTGAAGGGTTAGAACATCAGGGTTGACTCTAACAGATGGGACATGATGTTATTTACTCCTGGACCCTCCTGTTAGGACTCAACCATCAGCCACTCTCTGTAGGGTCAGAAGGCCTCTACGCACGCGGCTCCACCTGCTCAGAGCAGCGGATCCATTAGCTGCAGAATCGTTCCTCTGAGACCGGACCCACTCCACAGGACGCCACCCGGCACAATCTACAGTATCCAGCCACCGTATTGCATGTTCCAGAGTTTAGTGCCTATATTGATAATAATAATAATATTGTGCGTCTTGCCAGAAGCCACCATGTCAGCCGAGCCATGTTGTGTTTCTAGACCTTAGTAGTGACGTGTGGTGACTTCATAGTTGCTAATATTGAGGATGAATATTCTGCTTTTTCTCCAGTTGGATTTCAGTGATACTCCAGAATACACTGTCGCTGTAGAAAAAATAGTTTTTACCTGTTTTCTTATTTTTCTTTCTAACTAAAACCATTTGTTGTCCCCTGATATGTTTGTGGTCTCAGTTTTTGACTCTTCTTCCTCACAGACACGCCTTCCTGCTCCTCAGCTTTTGCACATTTTAATTAAATTGTTGTTAACAAAACATAAAAAACTATATACAAATATCTATAGAAGATGTTTATATAAAAACGGCTGTAAGTAGATTATTCTTTCAGAAAATAACATTCCGTAAAAATTCAAAAAATATCCACTGGACTTGGTTTTCAAGATTTGAAGACGTTTCACCAGGAAGCTTTCTCAATTCAAATGTCTGGATCAGGATAAGACTCAAACTCACTGCGGATCCAGACATTTGAATTGAGAAAGCTTCCTGGTAAAACGTCTTCAAATCTTGAAAACCAAGTCCAGTGGATATTTTTTGAATTTTTACGAAATGACTACGACCTGGATGACTGAGAACCTTCATCAGCATATTCAGAAAATAACATTTAGATTAGGAGATGATTATTTTAAAAATCAGTATGATTCATTTCTCAATCGAATTCTAAATCATCCAGTTCTATAACGTTCTACTTGTTCTGTAGGAAAGTCCCAAGATTTTTCACAGAACTTTGGGTAGAGTCTGGTCCAGAACAAACTGATGCTCCTCATTGACCTCCTAGCAATGTCCCCTCTAATGTTCCATGTTTGTGGACGTTAATACGAGCACCATTAGTCCACTGAGGAACACTGTGAAGATAGCCCACACACCAATATTACATCTGTTAGAAATCCATAGAAAGTTACACGGCTTATTAAAGTGTCGTAACTGTTATATTCACTTCCCAGCCACTCTTTTCAAACTGGGCCCTTTAGACCAGTGAGGGTGTTTCCAGTCCAGGTGAGGATGTCTGTGATGAATTTGTTGCTGCTGAGCTTCAGAGAACATCTAAAGAACCTTTCTGAAGATGGAGAACAATCCTAACTTAAAAACTGATTTAAATCTCAGTTAACGTTTCCAACTCCATGAAAATCACCTTCATGGGCGGACATTGTCTTCAGTTCTGACATGACTTGTTTGACTTGATGGTTTTTGCCTTTTCTAGTGTGTTTTTATTTTGTAAACATTTAAATGGAACCTGCATTAAATTAGGCACCTAATTTAGTTTATTAATGTTCCTTTTTTAAGGGCAGTTTTGAATCCAACGCTAAAATAAAACTGGACCTTTTCATGTTGCTTCTCTTCCTCCAATCACGAATTGCGCTTCAGATCACGTGGTTCTGCTCAGCACCTCTTACAGGTGCGGTTGATACCGCTAATTGCCTTTTGAAGTCAGCACGCACCTTGAACATCAAACCGCCGCCGCGCACTGGCTGAGCTGAGGGCTCGTGAGGATGTCGCGTGCGGACGCAGAGCTGCTGCTGCTGCTTTGCAGCGCTTTGATTCCCAGAGGTGCTGCTGCTGCTTCTGGACCCATTTCAGGTTCGGACCCTGAACGCGGCAGGATGGAGCTGCAGCGGGTACAGAACCTCGCTGCGCAGCCGCGCTACGGAGGGTGCTGGGCACGCGCTTTGGAGCACCTGGACATGCGCTGCAAGGACATGACGTCAGAGAGCCAAAGCCGTGTGGCTCTGCTGTTCACCCACTGTCACCTGAGCAGGTAAGACGCAGCTGATCCCTCCCATCTCCTAAACAGAACCCGGGAGGATTCATGTTTGGCTGCTTTCTTTTTATTATTTATTTTTATTTTTTCCAGGGTTTTTAACTCAGTTTATTGCTATAGCTCCAAATCACATCATATCATCTAAAGTCACTTTCCAGTTCACCAGATCATCCAGACAGATTGATTCAAAGTTTTCCATCTAAAACTTTAAAATCTTTAAACCAGTCTAGAGCTGTTCCTTTAATTCTTGCAAAATATTCAAGTCTTTCTAAAATAATATTTTGATCAACTGGATCAAATGCAGCACTGAGATCCAACAGGACGAGCACAGATACAAGTCCATTATCTGAGGCCATGAGAATATCATTAGTGACTTTCACCAGAGAATCTTCACCAGCGTTTAATGCAATATGTCACCACAGGCTCCAAAGTATGAAGATGAGAATGTGTGGGACGGTTCACATTTTGAACAAAGCCAATAGTGTCTAAGATTCATTAAAGGCTGCATTTAAGCTATCGCCTTCAATGTCAGCATGGATGTTAAAGTCACCCACTATGATGACCCTGTCAGTTTTTAACTCCAAATCAGAAAGGAACTCTGATTTTCTGAAATGTCGTTTTGTGCAGACCTGTGGTGCTCTTCAACAGTACCAAGTCATTAAAGATGAGCTTTGCATCAAAAAGAACAATGAAACCTGGGCTGGGTTCTCCTAACGTCAGGAGAAACCTCTGGGAGGCTCAGGAGGAGACTGGTTCTGTTGGGCCGCTCAATCCGAGTCATTCAGCAGAACCATAACAGCCGCGTTCATTTCCAATCAACCCCAATGTTTTGTTTTTTTTTACTCGTATTTTCTGAAGTCAAAACATAAAACTCTGCAATAGGGTGACATCATCAGGTGAAGTTCCGCGTGGTACGGAACAGAGCGGGGGGAACATTTTATCATGTGGGCGAAAAGAAGAATTTTAGTTTTTCTTTATGAGACGTAAAATAATCTGGTTTTGTTTTAACTTGGTGAGAGTTAGTTTAGTGAAAGGAAAAAATCTGAAACACCCAAACTGTTCCGCATTTTTTGCAATTGTTGTGGTCAGTTGTGTTTATTATTTCTTGAGAGCAAAAAGTGGATTTGGGTCTTACTTCCTGTATTGTAATTTTTAATTGCTAGTTTTTTTAAATGTATTTTATTATGAAATTAAACTCAAAGGTCTGTTTAATAAAATGTCGCTTCCTAGTTTTGTGCCTGATATTTTCCTTGCCCTCAGGCCAAACTTCTAAAGGTTCTGCGTTTTTTGTCTGGCCTTCAGCTCAGGCAGGGATTTCCCATCATGCCCTGAGGGCTCGGAGGTCAGCAGGTGCACGGCTGGGATGGACGCTGTGGCGTTTAACACCTACACCGAGTTCTTCACTCACACGCACTCTATCTGCCACTTCCTGCAGTCTGAGGCCTGGCAGAGCCGAGCGGAGAACACCATGTACAGGTGAGCGGCGCTCCAAGCCCAGGGCTTCGTCTTACAGGTTCTAACAGGACCTTCAAGGTTATTTGGACTTTTTTACAGACGTTCAGTCATTTTGAAGGATTTTCATTGAGCACAATCTCCATGTTTTTGTTTTTTATAAAAACCTTTTTTACTTTGTTAGCTGTGGCTCAGATTTTGTTTGAGATTGTTTAACCATTACTCATTTAGTTTGGACATGTCCTAAATTGAGAAAAATATGGGACGAAATATTTGAGGCACTTAGAAAAGTATTTCAGAAAACTTTTAACAAAGATCCGGAGATAGTACTGCTGATTATTACCAAATGACATTACTGGAAGTGAAAAAATAAATACCTTCTACAAATATTACTGATCTCTTAAATGTATCACAGTTGGTTGAAGCTCAACCAGCCAACTTAAAAAATATGGATTTAAAAAGGTCTGGGAAATCTACCATATGGAACAAATAACCTAAAGTCGTAGGGAAGCGGCTGTTCCAACCGTTGCATTTCCGAAGTGTACCAATATGGCTAGATTTTAATTTGGTGACACACTTTAAAGCAGCATTCACTGCTGTGTTTGCCAAGCGATGTAGAACTGTTGTGCATAGACGGGCTTCATAGATATTGGTTTATAGCAAGCAGAGCTCATTGAACAGGATCCTCTGTGTGTTTCAGGCTGACTGAGACCTCAGCAGGCGTCGCTGAGCAGCTTCAGTCCACCAAGCAGATGGCTAAGGACCTGATGGAAGCCCAGACTTTGGCCTTACAGGCACAGAAAGAAATCCTGACCAACGGAGAGCAGCTCAAAGTCACCCTCCGAGACTCTACAGAGGGTAAACATTTACACCCCCACCCAGCGGGTCGGTTCACCCGCAGCCTGACAGACTGCACTCTGGTTATAATAACCAGTAGCATTATGTCCGTACTGGGTTAGAATAAACCAGGTTGTCCTCATTTGGGATTTTTCCAGTAGGAAGGATCAACTGGTTCCAGTCGTATTTTGTTCAGATAAAACTGATTATTTGAATGGAGAATGGCATCCCAATCATTTCAGTTTACCGATCATCGTCTGTTTCAGGTCTGCAGTCGGTGTTCTCAGACCTCAGCAGTGTCTCCAGGGAGCAGCAGGTGGCGCTGTCAGAGCTCTTCAACAGAATCTCCTTCATGCAGAGTTTCCTTCTCATGGAGGCTCACAGTCTGAGCTCCTGCTGCTACAACGCTGCTGCTCTCTGTACCTCCTACCTCATCACCTCCACCCCGCGCTCCTCCAGAGCCAGGTAGCTCCGCCTTCAGCAGGTCACTCTGCAGAAATGAAGTCCTCGTTTAATCAATCATGAACCAGTGGGTCCAAATTATCCCTCAAATCTTCCCTCATCTGATTCTTTAGCAGATGTACAAGCAGTACTAGTTTCCACCAGCAGGGGGAGCAGTTAGGCTATTTATTAAAGGTCTTCCTCATATTGGTGTAATGAAGTTTCCAATCAGTTTAACTAAAAAGATCCATAAACCTGTTTGATGTTAACCAGTAGAACATCTGCAGATTCATCCAGGAAGCGTGAAAATAAAGGAAGAGATGATAAAGATACAACAGAGAAGCTTTAATGTTTCTGTTGTGGTTGAACTGATGGATCTCTGGTTCGGATCCGTTTCTGGATTCAGTTCATGCTGACTTTAGTTTACTAAGTCTGCTGTTGAACCTCCAGTTTCTTCCCAGTTTCTCTCTATAGTTCATCAGGCAGCTCCAGGGTCACTGGACCTTCAGAAACAGATTGGTTTCTGGTGTCGCTGATCTGTGTTCAGGTTGGTGCTGCTGGGGTTGGTGTGCTTGAACTTCTACCTGGAGAAGAAGATCTACCAGTTTGTGCTAAGCTCCAGTCATCCGGAACACCTGCACATGGTCAGTGGTCTGAGCTGGACCTCATGGATGATCTAATAAAACATTAGCTGCCTCTGGTGTCGTTCGGCTGGATGTGCTTCAGCTTTTAGACGCGTCTCTGCTTGATGCTGATGGAGCTCCTCAGGAGGCAGACGGGTTCTGCAGAGTGAAGCAGAGACTGATCTAAAAGGTGAAGGACATCGGACCCTGAGGGCTGGAATAGATGTGATTTAAATGGTTTGTGAACATGTGGTTCAGATGTTTGGTCCTCATAAGACAATAAGAATCTAAAGAAGTGTGTGTTGGAAATGCTCCTAGATTAGAAAGACTTGACTAATCCTAAAAACGTCATTTACATATTTGACAGCTTCAGACGGTTGGATGGATCCAGGCCTAGACTGTTAATCAAGTTGTGTTTATATCAGATAATTTAACTACTGTAGACCGTCTAAAGCAAACTGCTGCAGACGCAGCAAAACTCGACTACGACCTGCTGTAGACTATGTGGCGTTTTTATTAAATCTTCTCTAAGCTATTAGCTCAGCCTAAACCCTCCTTTAATAAGCAGTATGCTTTAGCTGGGATCTTTGCAGAGTTCTCTAAATACTCAGTGTCATATTTTTCCTTCCAAAGACGATGAAGATGACTTTCTATCCTCTTTACTGTGTATTTTAACTTCCACTCATTCATTGCAAATAGCTGGTTTATCATAATCGTTCAGCAGTTCCAAAGCAAACCTCTAGGTGTTGCCAAAGAGGATGATGGAGGTTGTCGTGGTAACGGTTCCTCAGCGTAAACGCTTCCTGTTTGTCCAGGAGCTGGTCTCTGCGTACGTAGGCGTGCTGCGGCGTCTGTCGGCGAGCGTCGGCGTGTTTGTCCTGCTGCTGGCGTGTGTTCGCTACAGAGACCCCGTGCAGCAGAGCCTGCAGGTGCTGCAGCAGCTCAGAGAGACGCACAGAAACCTGCAGGAGGTGCTGCAGCGCGCAGGTGAGCCTCCAGGTGAGGTGAGATCTGCTGCTTCGGGGCTCCGGGTTACTGGAGCTTTTTTTGTTTTGTTTTCAGAGAGATTAACAGAGGAGAAGAAGAAGCTGGAGGACCATCAGCTCCACGTGGAGGTGAGGTGAGGTCAGCAGGAGACCACGCCTGAACACACCTTACTCACCTGCTGCTCGTTTTCCAGAAGAGCTCAGAGAGCAGAAGAGTGGTGAGCCTGAGGTGTAGAGAAGAAAAAGAAGAGGAGGAGTCCAACATGATGTCATCACCAGCTACAGACTCCTCCCCCCTGTCTCACCTGGCACCTTCAGGTCAGCTGACTGGAGAGGGTGGGGCAGAGTTATAGCAGGTCAGATATGGAAGAAAAACCGTCTCATTGGAATCTGCCTTTTTTTCTTTTTTACGCCGAATTTTGAAAACTGAGTTTCTGCTGGAAAATGTTTTGCAGGAGATTTTTTACCAGATAAAATCAGGAATGTGAGGAAGATTCCAATCAGTGTTTTTGTTTCATACAAGATGTTCTTCTGTTACTTCTTGGTGAAGGTGTCCGATCCATCGCCCGATTACGTCATAGCGTGGCGTCGAGGTCACGCTGCGACGGAAGCCTCCTCGTTATGCGGCCGACAAATGCGTCCTTCTTTTTGCCCGTTTTGAAGGACAGATCCGCTGTATCCTCTGTAGCCTTCGGTATCCCATGATTCATTGCGAGTCCAAGCAAGCCGGCTGCTCCGTGCTCAGAGAAAAAAGAGAAATGGCGCCGATCAGTGGTGAATATTGGAAGTGCAGTTTAATATAATCCAGTCTGTGAATAATTCCGTCTGAAATGAATGAAAATAGTTGTTTTAATGGTTATAGAGTCAGATTTGTGGCGGTAATGTTTGATTTATTGAAAGGTTTAATCTGTCCCTGTATAAATGTGTTTGGCTCAGATTCTAATATCTCTGCAGGGTGGGGGGGGGCTATAAATCTGATATCTGAGACGACGGTTCTGCTAATGAAGCTCCTCAGGAATGTTATTAACATCCAGAACAGCAGTGAGAAGTTAAACTTTTCCTGCTTTTTGTGTCAACTGTCACGGTTGCTAGATGACAGAGCGTACGGGCGATGAAAGCCGCAGAAGGCTGGACCTGTTTGAATCCTCCGCCAAAACTCTTCCAGCCTCCTTATTTTCACGGACCTGGAAGGACCCAGTCCAGGTAGACCGGGTCTTTGGAGGACGCAGCCGCTGGATCAGAACACAGCAAATGGTTCTTCCTCCTCTGCTGCTCTCCTTTCTGACTTGCCTGTTTGGGGCGGGGCCTCCATTAAAGGTATAGTGGAGGATTTTCGCATATTTTTGAAAAGACTCGCCCTCTACACTTGTCAGACTTGCCACCGGTCGGTGAAAATGAGGACGAGCGCGTTGGACGTGACGTAAACGTACCACCAGAATGATTGACAGTTAGAGGACAATTAATTTGATGATTCACCTGGAAAACCTTTAAACATGGCTGTTCTGAGTTTCCGTCCCTCCAGCCAGCTTCCTGTCGAACCTCTTCCAGACTCTGGTTTAGATGTTTCCTTTAAACCGGGAACCGTTTTTAGCATCAGTGGGTCCGGCTCACTGACCGGCGTTCAAATCGCCTCGGCTCTGATCGCCTTACAGCGAAAAGTTACTTCTTCTGCTGCATCTAGATGCTGCTGTTGACCTTTGACCTTCTCCCAGGTTCTCCTTCAGCTGAGAGCAGCCGTCTCCTCCGCCGCTCCGCTTCCCATCATGCATCAGATCAGAGCCCAGGCCCCCGGGCCCACCCCTCCTCCCCCCTGGTCTACAGCATCCTGGTGGAGGACAGGAAGGTGAGTCTGCAGTCACTTCCTGTCACATGATGCCATCACTTCCTGTTTGAATAGATCAGCCTTCATCTATTTTGCTTCTTTATTGACCCCCCCCCAGCCCCGCTACAGCCTCAGGAGTCGGCGTTCAGACATTCATTGAGTGATGTCATCAGTGATGTCATCAGTGTTCTGCATCTGGAAATGGATTTTATTTAGATTTTTCTTAAGATTAATAAAAACATTAATTTTTTAATCAAACTGTCTCTGAGGATTCTTGCAGATCTGCAGCTGATAAACCGTCAGATTCCAGACGTTCATCTAATCCCAGCAGTCGCTCGCCACCAGGCAGGATCATCTAACATGGCTGCCAGTACAGCCTGAACATTTAATGAAATGATCCAGTTTGAATTTCTGCTTTGATATACCGAGTAACCAAAGAGCCCGGGCCGGGATTAGAACCCAGAACCTTCTTGCTACAAACTGCTCCACCGTGCAAATGATCTGTTTTAACAGCAGAGCTACTCTTTCCTTTGGCGCATCATCCTGTTTACCTGCTCAAATTCAGACCAAATGCAATTATATAAAAATAAAATCCATCTTTGCAGTTTAAGTCAATTTCCTATGATGATCTGTGATCATAAGATGTGAGACTTACTGATTTGACCCTGGAACCAATTTAATATTTTGTCAGATGATTATTAACAAGTATTTAGACATTAGGCTTCAGTCCAGATCACAATCTCTGTCTG